ATATATATATATATATATATATATATATATATATATGAAAGAAAGGAAACAAAAGGTTGCATACCTTTTAATAATTTGTTCAGATGTTGCTGCTCCAACAGTGTTTCCTCCTCAGTTATTTTTCTTCCTCAGCGACAGATCATGAGATGGTGTAGAGGCAGGGCAGCTGACTTGGGATCCAAAAGTCCCATTTTTGATCCCCAGCCATTCCCACATGTCATGGTTTCTCTGAGCAAGACACCTAATCACTAATTTCTCCCTGGGCGCTGTCATAGCTGCCCACTGCTCCGCCTGGGTGTATCCCAGGTGTGGTGGGTTAAATGCAGAGAAATAATTTTGCCATTGTATGGGAACATACAATGATGACAGCACATAGCACTTTAACAACAAAGTCCATGCTCAATAATCCAGGTATACCTGGAATATTGAGCATGGACTTTGTTGTTTTCAACCAGTTTGACAAGACTATCAACAAAGTAGAGGGCCGGCAATAGAGGATGGGTGTACCAAAGAGACCATCTTATCACAAGCAGAACTGGTTTGTTCCACTTTGGGGTAAACTGTTGGGAGAAGAATCAGTTTTGTTATGTGTTTCCTTGACTGATTAAGCCTTCCGGACTGAAGGCGAAATGTTTCAGCACAAAAAAAGAGAAACTGTCCAGATGACCTGACTGAAAAATGTTGGACATAGCACTTTACTTTACTTTTTCTTCAGACAATTATGGAACAAACCTCATGAGGTACAGGATTAGGAGAATGTTTTATGTAAGTTTGTAACACGATGGAAGAGGGCTGTGTTACCATATAAATACTTAAATTGTGGACTGAGTTGCATTGTATAACAGACAAAAAGGAACAGTGCTTTGCTTATTAAGAATGAGGATTTTGAAGCCCTGAAGCATCTTTAATTTTTAATTAACTTATTTTTCTTTTTTGTCACAATTTTTGATTTGCTTCTCCTACCACAGCTTTGGCTTTCTGAAATAATAGTGCTTTAAAATGTTTGGATCAGTCAGGATTAGTGAGCTTAGATGCTAAAAATGTTAAACATTGTCAGTGGTTATGCTCCACAGGTTGGATGGGATGCGGAGGAGAAAGATAAATTTTGGAAAGATCTGGTTGAAGTGATAGAGAATACAGTAGTCCCTCATTTATCGCAGGGGATCCGTACCTTGAAGCCCCGCGATAAGTGAAAAACCGCAAAGTAGTAGTAGTAAAAGTAGTAAGCAGTAGCAATTTTATAGTGTATGTAAATATTATACATTTTTATTTTATTTTTTAATTTAACCTTTATTTAACCAGGCAAATCCCATTGAGATCACAGATCTCTTTTGCAAGGGAGGCCTGGGTCTGAAGGCAGCCAAACATGCATGTTTTTGGTCTGTGGGAGGAAACCGGAGTACCCAAAGAAAACCCATGCAAGCAGGAGGAGAACATGCAAATTCCACACAGAAAGACCCCAGGTCCAACCGGGGATTGAACCCAGGACCTTCTTGCTGAGAGGCAACAGTGCTAACCACTGAGCTGTCGTGCTGCCACCGTGGTATTTTAAACCCTTCCCACACTCTTGCAAATTCTAAACAATGTTTCTAAACGCTCTAAAAGATCATAGAATATCATGATTTCAGCTTCCTGCCTCAGCTGCTCTCTGTCATCTGCCAGTGCTCTTGGCCACGCCCACTTTTCCGCTGCAGAGCGGAGATTTGCTATGAGCTGCAGGAGAAAGTTTCTTCTGCAGCTATGGGCTGCACACAGGTGCAGCAGGTGCTTAATAACTTAAAATAATTTATTATAAATAAAAAATTTATGCCAATTTTGCAGCTCATCCATCAATCAGCCAATTGTGTCATGTCCAATCTTATTTTGAAAAACCATGATAGAGCGAGTCCGTGAAAAACGAACCCGAAGTAGCGAGGGACTGCTGTATTCCCAGGGAGGAGAGAGTGATGATCGGAGCAGACCTGAATGGACATGTTGGTGAAGGAAACAGAGGGGATGAGGAAGTGATGGGTAGGTTTGGTGTCAAGGAAAGAAACCAGGAAGGACAGACGGTCGTGGATTTTGCCAAGAGAATGGAAATGGCTGTAGTGAACACTTATTTCCAAAAGAGAGAGGAACTTAGAATGACTTAGGAGGAAGGAGTACACAGGTAGACCAGAGACGTGCAGTCAGGCAAGGCAAGTGAGGCAGTGCCTCTCCTGTCATCATGACAACTAAAATGATAAGAGAAAATACATTTGACTGTTCTATAAAAGTGTTTTATAAAACTATTTTCTGAATTATTTCAACACTTGTGGTCAAAATTACAGAATTTACGCATTGCCTGTTCAAACAATGCGGGATGAGGCAGTGTAGTGCTCCGGTTCACCTCTGGTAGAGCTGTGTCATATATGAAGTAGGTGGTTGGTGCATGCCCATTGCTGTCTGTCTTTATATCGCCAATATACATGTTTGGTTACACATGTGCTGCACCTGCTGATGTTCTACAGTCTGTCTAATATAGTGAATAAATGTGTGTGACACATTTCTTTTTTCTAATTGGTCATAATGCACGCTGAAAATACAGAGGGGTCAAGCAGGAAGTACCTTTCTGTACAGATAGGGGGCAGTGCTGCCCCATAGGGACAATAAAGCAGGTGCTGCTGTGCGTTCTTGTTACAGAGGGGCAGCAGAGGTGAAGCAAACAGCACACTCATGTAAATTTGTTTAGACAAAATGGAAGATCATATCTCAAAACTAAAGGATTTTTCTAAACTAGATGAGTCATACACATAAAATAAATTGATTAAAACAATAAAATACATTAGGCATGAGTGCAATGCTCTTTTTGACACAGCCAGAGTTTAGCTTGTTTTTTAAGCATATTGAATCCTGTTACAGACTTTAAATTGACAGGGAGTGACTTACAAATTGTGGATCTTCTCACAGATGGAGCACTTTGAGCAAAAGTGGTTCTACGAAAAGGAACCTTACAGTCACTCTGGTAGATCTGCCCTAGCCCTGCAGTTTCTGTATAATTTCTTAATGGTCTGGGTGCAAGTCCATTTAAGCATTTGAAGATCAATTATAAAAAATTGTAATTGGAAAATTCTAGAATACTGAACTTAGCTAAAATATTGCAGTGATGAAATCTGATTGGCTTTTGGTATAAAACCTTCAACGCCCAATTGTAGAGACTTTCCAGTGGTTTAAGTGTAGTTTGGTGAGTCTGTGACCAGACAGTAGCTCCATAAGACAAATGTGAAAGAATAAAAGAGTTGAAGAACATCTCTGCACAATGAAGTGTCAAATATTTTCTAATTATTTTAAAACAATTTATATTGAAATATAAGCTTCTATTTTTGGTTCATATATTTGAGCATTTGATTCCAGACAGTCAGTGCCTCACTTGTCACAAAGCTCACCGCACGTCACTGAGGTTGACTACATTCTGTGTAGAAGAGGAAACCTGAGGGAGATTGGAGACTGTAAGGTTGTGGCAGGGGAGAGCGTGGCCAGACAGCATGGGATGGTTGTGTGTAGAATGGCTATTGTTGTGAAGAGAAAAAGGGTAAAATCAGAGAAATAGACCAAATGGTGGAAGCTAAGACAGGAAGACTGTGAGAAATTCAGAGAGGAGCTGTTAAAGGCTTTGGGTGGTAGGAAAGATCTTCCAAATGACTGGACTACAACAGCAACAGTAAATAGAGAGACGGTAGGAAGGTACTCGGTGTGTCATCTGGACAGAGAATGTATGATAAGAAAACCTGTTGGTGGAATAGTGAAGTGCAGGAAGCTATTCAAAGAACGAGATTAGCCAAGAAGAAATATGACAGTGAGAGGACTGAAGAGAGGAGACAGGAATATAAGGAGATGCAATATAGAGCAATGAGGGAGGTAGCTAAGGCAAAGCAGAGACAGATGGGAGGTTGGACACTAAAGAGGTCGAGAATGACCTGTACTGATTGGTAAGACAGAGGAA